ATCGATGAGGTCATCCAGAAGTGCCGACGCGTTGCCGAACTGGACAAGGGGCGCGCCCAGGCGGTCAAGCACAGTGTCGCCTACCACTTCACCTGGCTCTTTGTCTTCAGCGTGTTCATCTTTGCCCTGTACTACGACTCCAAGGAGCTGTATGCGTGAGTATGATAGACTAACGAGATACCCTATTCTAGATGAGAAAAGTGAAAGTGGAAACGTAACTAAATAAATATCTTACCAGTTGTCAAGTGGCAGGAGAGCCGAAACTAGTGATAGATAGATAGAAGACAGCTTATATCACATTAACAGCGCACTGTTATTGCCATGTTATTTCATTTTTCGCCCTACTATACTCATTTCTGTTTCAATTTCATTCTGGTCCCATTTATTATCATATATTAATTACAGAAATCTGTCTCGACAGCCAACAGGTCGAGCTATAAATCACTCTACAAACGTCTCGCTTTTACTCTCTCTGCCTCTCTCTCTCTCTCTCTCTCTCTGTCACTCTCTCTCTCTCTCTACTTCTCATTTTCAGCACCTTTGGCGAGTATGCGATAATACCATTTATGGTGTCGAGCTTCCCATATCTGGCTGGCAGCATTATCCAAGGCGAATTCATCTATCATGTGTCTGTCATTTCGAATCGCTTCGAGCAAATAAATAAGCTCTTCGAGAAGATAAACCAGGAGGCGCGCCACCGCCACGCCCCGCTCACAGTCTTCGACATCGAGAGCGAGGGCAAGAAGCAGGAGCGCAAGCCAACGCCCGCCGAAAAAGCAGCCGCCACCAAAGCCATCTACAGCACCGATCCCAAGTTGGCGGATGAGCTGAAGGCCCAAAAGGCGCTGCCGGCCAACCAGCAGAGCGAGCTGAACTCCAGCGATGAGGAGGACGAGGATATCTTCGACTACAACGAGGGCATGATGGAAGAGAATACCGGGTGAGCTTAAGGAGATGATATCATTAAAGAGTACTGGATTTCCTTTTAATATTTACATATCTTAAAAATAATAATAAAACTTGTTTATTCCTTACTCAACTTTCGTAGCACCACATCAGAGGCCAATTTGCCGGATCTGTTCAAGCTGCACGACAAAATACTCGCGCTGAGCGTTATGACTAACGGGGAGTTCGGACCACAGTGCGTACCCTATATGGCGGCCTGCTTTGTGGTCAGCATCTTCGGCATATTCCTCGAGACGAAGGTCAACTTCATAGTCAGCGGCAAGAGTCGCCTGCTGGACTACGTGACCTATCTGTATGTCATCTGGAGCTTTACCACCATGGTGGTGGCCTACATAGTGCTCCGGCTCTGCTGCAACGCCAACAACCATTCCAAGCAATCGGCGATGATTGTGCACGAGATCATGCAGAAGAAGCCGGCCTTTATGCTGAGCAACGATCTCTTCTACAACAAGATGAAGTCCTTCACTCTGCAGTTCCTGCACTGGGAGGGCTACTTCCAGTTCAATGGCATCGGGCTCTTCGCACTGGACTACACATTCATATTCTCGGTGAGGCACGGCAAATGTCTGTTGACAGCTTCAAATTCATTTCAATACTGCTTTAGAAAAGTGAAGTGGGCATATTAGTTTTTGAATAATTATTGACTAGAAGCATTCGACTTTGAATATCTATAAAAGTCGGCTGATAGAGTTTCGAACTAGTTCCAATTCAACTGTTATTACTTAGTTTCTACATCATGCCAGTTCAGTTCATTTCCAAAGGGTTTCAGCGAACGAGTATTAAACAGTCGCTTATCTTCGAATAAATTGCTTCAATTTAATTTCATTTTTTTCAGACTGTGAGTGCAGCCACGTCGTATTTGATTGTCCTGCTGCAGTTCGACATGACGGCAATATTGCGCAACGAGGGCCTCATGACCTAAGCGTTTCGCTCCAATGCAATTAAATGTGGATGTGTTTTTCATTTAAGCATTGCTCTACTCTATTTTTGTGTCACATTTTTAACAACTTTTATTCAGCACTGCAAAACTTTGGAATTTGCGATGAAATACAACGAATCACTCGATGGACAGCTTTAAATGTGTGAAATATATTTTGATTATTTACTCAAAGCAAAAATGTTTTTAGTTCAAATTGAATTTGAAGGCGAAAACTGATAATTTTTGAATAATCTGTGCTTGATTTATAGAGGAGTAGGGAAAACTCTATAGAAACTGAGAGTTTTCACGCGTATTGCAATCGAAAGGAATACTTAATACAAACTAGATATAGAAACTATGTAGACTTTACAACCAAAATAACTGTAGCTCAGATAAGAAAATAAGAGAACTAACGCAACAGGACAGCTGTTGATGTTCGGTGCCGTTAATCGCATCAGTGCGCGTTGTTCAACACTGCCGCGGTTAACCCAAGGTAGCTGCAAATTGACGAAGGCGAATGGATGAGGCAGGAGGGATGGGGAGGGGGAGATGGCGCTCTAACACAATTTTATCAACTGTCAATTGAAAAACACGATTTGCCAGTCATTCAGGCTTACAGTGGCCGGAGGAAGTGGGAAGCGGGAGGCGGAAAGCAGGAAGGATGGAGGAGGCAGCGTGTGAAGTGCTGAGCCGCCATTTTGTGGCTGTCAAACGGAAGCGGCGAAGTGTGAAGCAAAAAGTAAGAACATGCCGCAATTTCCGCTTTTAATCACGCTTAGCGCAACGGAAATGTGCACGAAATTCGCTTGCACTTTGCAATTGGCCGCAGCTGAGAGTGACAGATGTATGCTATACAGATAGACATATATACACATACATAATGCATGTACATGTGTTTTTGGCTCAATTAACATAGAGCGAAAGGCTGCCTGCCACAGAGCGGAGCCTCCGAGGTGCAGGCAATCAATTAATATTTTCGATATTATGACGACCCGTCAAATAAAATTGATTTTCATGTGAGACTCTGTATGTGTGTGTGTGTGTGTGTGTGTTTGTGAGTGTGTGCTGACCAGATAAAGTGTAGCTTATATTACACGGCAGCTAGCGATGCGAGGTGTGGAGCCTCATCAATGCCATAAATCAATACGACGCGCAAATGTCACATGTTTGACCAGTAGCGCTGCAACTTTATAGAGAGCGAAAGAGAAGCAGACAGAGAGAGAGAGAGAGAGAGCGAGAGAGAGAGAGGGAGGGCAAACAGAAGCAGCAACAGGCCACACATTACCTGCAAATTACGTCAACTGTTGCCCATAGCACAAACCACTTGAATGACTGCCTCGCTCTCACCCACTCACCCACTCCCTCTCTCTCTCTCTCTCTCTGCCTCCCTCTTGCTCTGTCGCTCTCCGTATCTGGCTCACTCTCCCACTCCCAGCAGGCAACGTGACCAAGTGAAATGTCAGGGCACTTTTAAGAGTTCATTTGGAATGTAGCAAATTGTATAAACTACCAAACAGGACAAACAGGACGAGCAGCCAGACAGGATGAAGAGGGACAGACGGACAGATGGACAGAAGGACAGACACTGACACAGACAACGTAGCGCACATTTATTGGTGGGCGGGGCTAATTCAAACACAATACCAACAGGTTGTCATCGTTGTTGTCTTCGCTCTTGTTGTTGTTGTTGTTGTTGTTGTTGTTGTTGTTGTTGTTGTTGTTATTTGAGTAATTGAGACTAAAATGCATTGGCCTTCAACCCAGCTCGCATGGAAAACTTTTATTTGTCTACAGCTGAGGATTTATTATGCTCAAATCATTGGCACTGACAGCTGAGCGTACAATAGCGTGTTGTACAACACTGGCAAATCCTTTGTGGAATGCGGCTTAATCCATTGGCAACAGTAAATCCTGCTCGAAAATAACTCAGTTGCCAGAGCTGCAGTCGGGTAAAGGCCATTGAAAATGAACTATAAAGCTAGAAAGTATTAGACTAATCTCATTAGAATAGTTAAAAGTCTCTAAGAATCTGCCGAACATGAAACTGTAAGTAAGAAAACTCCAGGCGACTAGAAGATACACCTCATATCGACTAGAAGATACACCCCATATCGCAAACAATGTCTGCATGTCTTGCAATTATCTATGCTCAAATCAAATCTGAGTCGCACCTCCTCGACAACATGGTACGCCTCTACCAATTCCACTTCTATGCCTATGCCTAACTGTCTGTCTCTAGTTGCAGGGATGTAAGAGATATGCTGTTATATCTGACATTTAATTGTGTCCTTCATTATTTACAATGCAACAGCAAGAACGTGATCTGAGAGTGCTGCTGGACCTTTTATTGATAGACAGAGGGATGAATAGGCAGACGTAAGGATGGACAGACAGACAAATGCACAAATTAGCTAGAGGAGAGGATAGACTAGCGGACGTATAGACGTACTTTGCTATATTAGCTCAACCCATCGTCCAAATCAAGACTACATATACCCCATCGTGTCCGCCACGCCCTCTAGACTGGGCACGTATTTATATAGTATAATATGGACTATATTTTCGAGTGTTTCGAGCACGCTAAATAACCTGTTAGCTTATGACTAGCAGCTCGGGGTGGCAACTCTGGCGCAAAAGCTTTTACACTACAGGTGTCTGTGGGCCAGCGAACAACAGAGAGCAGAGGCAAAGCAGCAGCAGCAGCAGCAGCAGCAGCAACAGGAGCAGCTGTGGTGAGTTGAGCACAGAGCGCGCTCTCTCAGTCAGACACAAACGCCCACACATGTACACACACACACACACACACAGTCAGACAGGAAATATCCTTGAGAAGACAAGCAAACACCCTCGGCCAAGCGAAGGCAAATTGTGCGAGGACTTTGGCTGCTGTTGCTGCTGTTGTTGTTGCTGTTGTTGTTGCTGTTGCTGTTGCTGCTGTTGTCGACCAAATCAAATCAAACTGATAACAAATAGCAACAACAACTGGCTGACAGGATGCGTGAGAGAGCTCCACTCGTTCGCTCGCTCGCTCGTGCGTCCTTTCGTTCGCTCGTGTCGCGCACGAAGCATCGCCTGCACAACATATTCGAACTTTAAAGGACTCCTGGCAACTGTTGGCGGAACAGTTCGTGGCGGAGTTGCGAGTGCGTTGGTTGTGCGACCTGAAGAACATCGAGGCGAAACCAAGTCATATAGAGAAACCTGTGCGTGTGCGTGTGCGTGAGTGTGTGTGTCAGTGTGGGTGGCTGCCTCTACATACATAAGACTGTGTGTGTGTGTGGTTGTTGCTGTTGTCGTCGTTGTTGTTGTTGTTGTAATGAAAAGCGAAAGTTCTGCGGGCGGCGTCAAATTTTGTGTGGCAAATTTAATTAACAATAAGTCGCCAAAGTGCAGACGCAGAAATTCCAGCTCGTACTCCCCATTTGGGCTAGTATTGTAGCTCCCACTACTTGTTTTTCGGGAACAGTTGGAAATGCGTTTTGGTTTTGGCTCTGTTGAATAACCAGCGCAGAGATGCGCAAATGGCGCCGCGTGGGCGTCTGCCTCCAAACAAGAAACATGAAGAAAAAAACGGTAGCAGCAGCAGCTATGTGTGTGCCCCGCCCCCTGCTCAGCTATAGATATATCTGAGATTTCTACTTACAGGTTGTTCTTTTTGCTTTTCGTGACCTTGCAGAAAAGTAATAAAACTTTTGCTCCAAGAATGTGTTTTGCATAGTCGAGGCGAGGTAGGGATAGAGATAGAGGTGGAGATAGAGGCAGAGGTCGAAGTATACGACGAACACATTTGGAAGAAAAAACATGACTTGAATGGCTTGTTCAAGTTTGCTGTAGCTAAAAGCTATCAACGACAGAAGTATAAACACTTTGTTCCATGCACTTGCGTTCAATAGCAAAATGAAAACTAAATTTTACTGCAGCGAGAAGCGCTGTCAGAAAAGATAAGCTATACGCGCTCTGAAGAGGCAACTGTCAAAAGCAGGCGAACAAAGAGTTAGTCTGAATAGAGCTCAGATCTCCCACTTTGTATCAAATAATCCTGAAAGAAAGAAGCAAAGCCCAAAACTATTTAGCAGCTAAACTTCTTAGCTGCCTGTCAACGAATAGAAAACTCGGTGAAAGCCAAGCCAGTGACAAAGAAACCTAGAGACTGACGCTTCTCTCTTCATGTTCAATGAGCAGAAGGAAGAACCTAAACGAAAGTTTAAGTGAAGGACAAAACAAGATATTGTGTGTAAAATTTGTGACCAAATAAACAAGAAATTAGTAAGTAAGAATAAACTGCGAAAGGATACTCTGCTTCTCTCTTCAATTTTATTCAATACAAAAAATAGCTAGAAAATTTTGAAGAACAAGGCGAGAAAGCAAAGCAATTCCGGTCTGCAATTTCTATAGAGAAGCACGACTGGAAGCTACTGATAAGTTTCAAAAGAGAGAAGCTTAGCAAAGTAATAATTCTCAAAGTTTTTTGAAGGATAGTCAAGAAAATAATCCTGCATGCCAAAGGTAGATAAGGTTTTACGATGCTCGCCCGCACTATAAGAGAGAAGCAGCAGAGAGAAGCAACGTCGCATTGAATAGCCTCCGCTCTAAATTATCTGCAAATTTCTATATAGAAATATTAATTTTGCGTCTCAAATTCTATTCATAGACTCAAACCTTTTCTTCGCTTCTCTCTGCACGGCTTTCTCCTCCAACATTTTAATGGCTTTTGCATAACCACAGTTCGAAGGGTCGTCGAGACGCGGCTCTATCACAGTTCCACTTCCACTTTCTGTGCCAGTTCCGTTTTCATTTTCATTTCCACTTCTCGCGCTCAACTTCCATTAAGTAAATTCTTATTTCCTGTTTGAGCTGCGCATTTAAGGAGCATGTCAACCCGGAGTTGTATTTATTTTTCCATTTCTTTCGGTCACGTCTCTCCTACTTTTTACATGGTCTACTTTTTTCGCTCTGCACTGTGGCCAATTTGTTGGGGAATTAAATTTGCTGCGTATGCCCCGCCATAAAATATTGTAATTAACTTTGGCCCGCAGGCCTGGGGGTCGGCCTAGGCGTTAATGAGGCAACAGGTTTTTCGGGATTTCGCGAAACGCTTCAATTAACCAACACTAAGAGCTCTGCAGCTAATAAATATTCATAAAGTGTGCGAATGTGTCGAAGCCATCGACTGACAACTGAGCCACAACTTTCGTCGGGGCCACAAAGTTTCCACTTCATTCCTTGGGCTAGAGCTGATGGAAACTCTGGCATCGAGCACAAGAGTTGAGGCACCAAACTAACATGTGACATTTCGGCAGAGAGTCAAAACTTTATCCGCTCTAAAGTTGGCTGCATCAAAGGACTCAGCTGACATGCCGCCGACACGAACGGAATTTGGGGAAGGAGCCTGAGCAAGTTCTTTCAGCTTAAATTCGAGCATCCCTCAAGCTGCTTTTAGCGGCAGCTTAAATGCTTTGCTAGCTATTTATAAGACAGCTTATGGCCAAAGCCGAGGTGTGCTCAGAAAGTATCTCGATTTTGTTGATACTCCACTGCCTCAACCTTTTCGATATTTGACTATACCAAGGGACATTCTGCCTAGACCAGGTAACTGATGAGACGGTAATTACTTTGGAGAACAGAAAGAACTATTTATGCAAATCACAGAATTCGCATTACTTTTGGAACTCACCTCGCATGTCCGTCCTACCTCATGTATTCTGAAATTGTGAAAGCCAATCAGAAACTACATAAATGCTACAAATTCAATAAGCAAACAAGCGGCAAATGAACTTAACAGACACATGGAGGGCGAGAGAGAGGGAGAGAGTAAGAGTGAGTGAGAGAACGAGAGGCAGCATCTGTGTTTGGGCTTGCGAAATTTAAATATCTTCACATATCATCAATAGAATTGAATTATAAAAGAAAGTAAAAACAAAATCTAAAAAAGAAAAAAGAAAAAACAAATTTTAATAAAAACAAAAGAGACAGAGAATAAGAGTGAGAGTGAGAGTGAGAGAGCGAGATAGAGAAGAAATTGAATTGAATTGAAGTGAAACGACAAAAGCAATACAAGTGCGTGGGCCTCATGTCTGAGAGCCTGAAACACAATACGTAAAATACAGATTTAAGTACGTGAAAGCCTGCCACAGACAGCGCGCGCACACATACATACAAACAACAACAGCTTAAAATAATATCAAAAATAAAAGCCACAAAAACAAGAGGCAGAAAGCAGGAGGAGCCAGAAGCTGAAGCAGCGGCAGAGGCAGAGGCAGAGGCAGAAGAGCAGCAACAACAGCCAAGTGGTTGACTCTGACGAGGACAAAGCGTTAACATGATTTGATTTCTTATGAAAGAGAGGTAAGACCTATAAAAGACAACACATACATAGCATACAGTCATATGTAAATTGAGAAATATGTAAATATATGTGTTTAGCAGACAAATGCGGATTAAGTGCGCATTGCTTGCGATGAATCGGCTAGTTTGTGATTATCAATTGATAAGAACTAAGTACTCACAGCTCATGACTCAAACAAAGAAAAGTGTGACTCTTTGGTAAGATAAGATAACGATAAGAAAGGAAGGCAATTGAATGAGGATTACTTACTCGATAAGGTTTTAAGCTGATAAGATAACTTAACTGTATTTATTTCGCATTGAATTACGATTAAATTTGTAATTGAAAGTGAGTATATTCAATGTATAAATAGCATTAAATGATAAAGAAATAATGATCGGGTAAACAGGGAAAATTTAAGTCATACTTTATGAATGAAAGTGAATTGAATGAGATATAAATATTATGAATGATATACATTATGAGGGAAACAAGTGCTTGAAGTATTCGAATAGACATCTTATCGCTATTTCTTCATTTGGGCGAGAAGAGAGCTACTAGCTACTATTGGGCTTAAATGACATCAACAATAATGTTTATTTATGTAAAGAAGTAAATAGAAACCAATTAAAACGAATGAACTTTTAATCTAAGAAAATCTGCAAATGTGGGGCAGTTTTATTGGCTGTAAATTAAAGTTATAATGACAGGTCTATAACGGCTTTCTATACGTTTCCTATCTTCCTTTAAAAATCTTAATTGACATTCACTGACGTAAGCAAGCTACATTTAAATTTAACCAAAGCAAAACTTGGCAACTCTATGGCTCTTCTATGACTATGACCTTCGCATCTTGAGGGGCTGGGAAGGGGCGTTACGCACTAAAGCTTAGCCATATTTTGAGGACACTTTTGGGGCTCGTTTAGCTCGAGTCCAGCTCATAGCGAGAGGCTGTTTGTGTTAGATACTTCGAGTTGAGACTCAAGGCGATAGCCAATAGCAGCTCACACTAAGTAAAGAGGAATCGGCTCACTCCAACAGCTCTATTGGGCCATGGGAAAGCGACGCCTAGAGAAAAAGAAAGGGAGCTGGAGAGAGGGGGCGACTCGCTGGGGAATTGCACTTTGTGATAGTTACACAACCCTTGAAGCTTAACGTTCCTCAAACTTTAAATCCATTTTGCGTACAATGAAGCTATCTCACTCTATGTCTCACTCTATCTCTCTCTCTCTGTCTATCGTATGAGACTTCACTTGAAGTTCACTTTATTTGCATTCGCCTTAAAGCCATCGAAATTGATAAGCAGCGCTTGCCAGAGCGTATTATATTTATCAGAAGGCGTTCATTTGTATTAGATATACATATACATCTGTGTCTGTGTGTGCGTGTGGGTGAGTGTTTGTTTGTGTGCGTGTGGGTGTGTGTGTGTGTGTGCGGCATTATTGTACATAATTGAATGCGCTAAATTATTTACTCAGTGACTTGTAAAGCAGGCCGGAGCTACACATTTTCTTCTGCCTCTCCGTCTCCTTCTCGCGCTACGTCTGCGTCTTCTTCTTCTCAATTTTCTGGAGACCCTTTTAGGGATCTCGGCATCAGCCAGACGACGTTTGACAAGGGACAGGGCATGGCTTAAAGCTCCCATTTGCTTAATAAAATTAAATGGCTTTAAGGCCAATTCTGAGGCGAGTCGCTGCGCTAGAAAATATGCTACGTTTTTATTTGTTGTTTTGTTTCTACTCTGCTCTGCCTTGGTCTGCTCTGCTCTGCTCTGCTCTGCTCTTGAGCCACCGTCACGTAGCTGTACTTGATGGGCTTTGCCCATTTTATTTATGCATATTTGCTAGCATATCGATGCCGACTGACTCTGCCCGTGTTCATTCACCTTTACACTCAAGAGCAAGCAGTCATCCACCTGAAACAGCAACAACTACAACAACGACAACAACAACAACAACAACAACAACAGCAGCAGTGGCAACAATAGATTCAAATGCTTTTTATGCCCATTAAAAAGGGGAGTTCAGAGTATATTGATTTTGTAAAACTGCATACAACAGGCATACGGAGGCGTGGCAGTTGCCATTAACGGAAAGAATATTGATTAGAGCGCAGAGGTGGCTCGATTGAGTCATGGCCGTCTGTTCAGCCCTCCATCTGTGCGTGCGTACGTCTAGACGAGCAGCTAGGGCCTTGAGATTCTAAATGTTTTTCTTAATACGCAGCATGAGCTCATTATCTTTTTCGATAACTCATTCCATCTCCCTAGATAATCGATAATTTGATTTAGCTAAGCGCGCTAGGTGCCTGTGATGAAACACAGATATTTAGTATTGGGCTTTCATATTTTTTATCTGGTATTTTCCCCTTAAGAAAATATTAAACCATAATTTGTTGCCCACAGCTGTTTCTCATTATTTCATATGATGAAGTGCATTGCTCAGGGTATCTGCTAGTCGAGCACTCCCCTTCCAGCACGCTTCCACTTGCTATTGTTGCCTTCACCTCGCTCAGCTAGAGAGTTTGGCGACCCTCGCAGCCGTAATCCTGGCAGTTGAAAGGTTTGCACATTTATGCTAATGTGCGGCATAATCAATGTGGCATGCCGCATGAAATATTGAAATACGCATCTGCAGAGATACACTCGAATATATGCAGAGATATATCCGCCCATTTGCAGCTGGCTCTGGCTGCTCTCAGCAACAGCAACAGCAGCAGAAATGTGTAATTTATTTTTTACTATGTAAACAAAACAACATTGTTTACAGTTCTTGGCGATTCAGAAATTGCTGTGACCACACGAATATTGTTGGCAGCCAAATCTGCATAAACTAATTTCGCTTTAATTAAATTAAGCACATAAATTAGAAATGCCAAGCCAAATTAAATCGGGGCCCAGGCACAATTGAGCTGAATAATTTAACTAATTTATCGAACTGTCCAGGGGCATTAGACCTGATTTTAATTCACTTTTACGATATACGAAGCAAACTGTTTAGGCTCTGCTCATTCGATTATAAATAAAGCTGTTAGCTAACGATGGACAATGCCACTAAATTGGTCCGCTCTCGATTAGCCCGAATATCGTTAAGCAATTCACAATATAATTCTATTTCTTAGTTCATTATTATTCGATTTAAAATATTAGAATAGTGTCTATTATTAAATACTAGAGTGATATCTTAATATCGTATTCAATTCGTACTTTTCATAATCACTGAATATCGTTTTACGATATTCCAAATCTTGTCATTCATTACTGTTTTATATTTTGTTCTCACATATCTCACAATTTCTTACATGCCCACATTTTCTGAATACCGTTTTACGATATGCGCTGCTCTGTTTGAATATCGTATGTTCTGCTCACAATTTCGCATCTCTTTAAGCGCAGCCAACTCTGCTGAGTCTGTGCGTGCGTCCACATGTGTGTGTATGTGTGTGTATCTGTGTGTGTGCTTAGCCATGTGCATGTCGTTTTTGTTATAATTAAACAAAGGCTTTTTGCAAAACATTGTGAGCTGATGTAACAAGTGCTTCCATTTAGTAGATCCAATCACTCGCACTCCCTGGCTGGCTGGCAATGGCTGATAGTAATATTCCCAGTCAACTGATGGAAACGCATAAGCTCTACATGCATACACACATACTAAGTGTGTATAGGTCTACACAATATAAATGATATATACGAATATGCCCAGAGCAGTGTCTATATAAAAAATAACAATTATGCTTATAGATGTGTTAGCTTTTAATGAGCTTAAAGCTGTCATTCGCTCTCTTCTCCCACTCCCTCTGCCTCTCTCTCTCTCTCCCCTAAGCCTGTCTCTTTCCTTTTATTTTTGTTCTCCTCTTTGTCACATTTTCATATAGTATACACATACACATACATATATAGTTACTCTGTATGCCATGTGGCCCTCTGACAATAATGGCTGTGGCGATAAATATTAATGACAATCGTTGTGGCACTTCACTTTGTTTACATTTCGACTTGTCATTCGTGGCCAAACAGATCGAGTGCAGAGTGCGAATAAAAGAGAGTGCACAACTAAAAGATACCCTAGCTGAGTGCAAAGATTTTGAAAATGTTAAAGTAAAGTTCAGGCTGGGAAAAAGAGAGTGACTTGGCACTACTTGGCACATAATATTAAGTGTGTAGAATACATACCTTTTCAACGGGAAAAGAACGAGCACATCACACACTGTATAGAAAAGTTTAGAAGAAGGTAAAAGTTTAGAGATTTGCGATTCAATTATTCACAAGTTTTTAAATTGATTCTCAAAATACGAAATACAAAATAAAAGTAAAAAATACCAAATATCTAGACATATGTATGTACATTATATATGTATATGTCTAATACGGTATACATATGTATATGTCTAATACATAATTAATTGTTCTAATTGCTCTTTTATTATTCCTCTTCGATTTCCCCTTCATGATAACCGTTATCAATATCATATCTGCCACTTAATGATTTTCCTTTAATATTGTCTTCAATTGCAATTGAAATGAAATAGAATTCAACAGGAATTTCTGTGAATTAAATACATTGAATGAGGCCTTCGAAATTGATAAATTCTAACCATTTG